TATTTGTAATATGTAGACCCCATATATAGTGTTCAAGCAAAGGAGTATTAGGCAAGCCGTATGAAGTTTTCAGATTAGCTATTATCCAGATTGGATAAAAAATATGAGCCAAGCCTTTTGTTTTTCCTTTTTTGCCACTCTTGTTTTTTGCTCCAGCAATGGGTCATAGCTGGATTACAGGCAGTCTATATTAAACCAGAAGTCATGATATAGGATTCCAAAAGAAAGTCAATCCAAAAAACAAAAAAGTCCAAGAGGCAAGACCAAAGTCCAAACCACAATCAAGAGAACAGAAAGATACCAGAACTCAGTCAAACTGCTGCTCAAACAGGGAGTCCTCTCTAGAAGATCCAAAGGAGGAGAGGTTCATAAATCACAGCATTTCCTAACATTCAGGATCCATCAATTAGAAATTCATTTTTTATATACTCCAAGCTTGCTAGGAGTATATCTAACCACATATATCTAACCGCTATAACATCTAACCACATTTTTTATGTCCCAGTGTTTCTCTCTAGTAAACATAATTGTACTTTCCAAAGAACGACACAATGTGATTTCATAATTAACCACTTGATAATTAGAGCTTCAGAAACACATGGAAACTTTTAAAGAAACTTGCTCTAATTAATAAATAGGAAAGCTCTGCACTGCACTCCAAGGGCTGAAACATCAACACACATAACCTACTCACTGATATTTACAAGAAGAGGTGGTCCAATATACATATCCCATTTATAAATAGGTGTAGACATTTGTTATGAACTTTTTTTTAGTTGTTCTTGGATATTATTCCAATATTTACCAGGTACTAGTACATGTTCATTCATAGGAACAATTAAAAATAGTAACAGGACTCATAGCACTTTTGAGAGTTCAAAATATTATCTTACACTGACCTAATTTTAAATTACCAGATTCTTGTTTATATTTTAAATATAATTCCATACTTCACCTGAATGTTAGGCATATTGCAACATCTATATATAAGGAGCATGGAATATTAGTTAAAATACATTTAAAACTCAGGATAATCCTATTCCACTTCAACCACATGGCACACCCACTCCATGTGGGTACTTTTGATTCCAGTGATCTGTTCCATTCCCTCTCACCTTGTGGGTCATTGGAATAATGTGAAATGAGCTACCTATGAAATCAAACTTCCATACACAACTGATCCAGATGGGTACTAGCTATGAGGAAACAATCATTTTATACCAAAGTTTATAAATCTATTCGCCTTCATTGCACATTTATAAATTCACTATCCAAAGGGTGCTTCACTAGATGCTTGAGGAGACTGGGACTTTCCATATGATTTGGGATTGCAACACTCAGAATTCCCACTCAAATGACCAAAGATGAAAAAGAATTGTGCCTTTGCTACTGTGGTGCACAGACTCTGGAGACGCCACCCAATCAATGCTGACGTTCAATTTTTTTTAAGCACCGCGTCCAAATCAGATTTTTGTCTAGACATTTGAAACTAATTTATTAAGCTGGTTGATGTGTGTTGAATATTTGATGTGTTTGCTGCCTTTAATTTATTTAGTTGATGCTTTTTTTTTAAACTAAACATCCCACCAGGATTTTAAAACATGTTTAAAAGACTGCCTTGTGACTGTGAAATGAAGAATATAATACAAATATTTTAATGATATTTAGTCAGTGTTATATAGCACTGCTTTTGTGGCTATGATAACATCTAGTTATGTAGCTCCGGTGGCCTAGAGGTGGAGTTCTTGCCTTACAATCAGGAGGCTGTGTGTTTGATCCTAGGTAGAATATTTGGAATAGGCTCTTCTGCTCGAGCAGGGGGTTGGATTAGATGACCTCCAAGGTCCCTTCCATTCAATCTGATAACAACGGGGCAGCACTTATTTTAGGGGGCGTGCATAAGCGCACCAACGTGCCTACCATCCCTGTCCTATTGTTTCTTTTATTTTTCTTATATGTATCCATGTATTCATAACTATGTTTTTACTTATACCTATTATCTTGTAAGCAATTGACAAACCAAATAAAATAAAAATACAATAAATAGTTTACCACTGATAACTTAGCAAGTACATGAGTTAAGATACAGCTCAGTCTTTGATCCATACCTCCAAAGACAACAGAACTTTCTTGATTCAAGCTGATTTCAGAAAATCCTCAGACAGGGCTGCCTACTTCAATTGTCGAAAATAGTAGAGGATTCCTCCCCATCAGTCCCCTTCCCCTCTTTACTAGGTCTCTGGAGGAAGGTGGAATCATGCAGGAGCAACATATGGCTGGTTACCCCAGCCAATGGTATGGATCTTGAGCTAGCCAAATGTTACTGATTTATGCTAGTCTGAAAGCATTAGCAAGTTTAACACATACATGATAGAAACCATTATACAAATCTGGTAAGAGTCTTCACAATAAGATCTCTTTTCTCTGTTATGTCCAGATCTGCAATTATCATAGCTGGGAAAACAAAACATCTGGAATTGCCTAAGCTGACATCAAGTAACCATGCAAAACTGTATTATCTGTAGCTACTCCAGAAAACTGTGGAACACCCTTCCCCTTGAGGTTTACTGAGTTCAATCCTGAGCAATTTCCAGAAATACTATTTGAACAGATGATGACGTATGTGGATAAACTGAACTGAAGCCTTCTACAATGTGTCTTCCAAGCCCTACAGATTATAGCTTATGGGACTAAAGGCCAATATTTCTGCAGGAGAGGATATGAAGAGAATAAGGATAATAGTGGAGGTGAGTGACTGACCCACCTTTCTGTCACAAAGATGAAGCCTTGCTGTTCTAGTCCTGCATTGGAACAGCTGCTCAGAATCCATAAAGAGCAGCATAGACAATAGACAGGGCAGAAAGAAGAGCTGAAGAAGTAGGGAGTTTGGAAAAGATGGTTTGGGGATCTGAAAAAGCAGCCAGCCAAGAATCACCAAGGACCAGTTGGGCTTCAAGAAATGAAGATTCAATTTCATAAACAAAATATTTTGATGTAAGCATCTAAGCTTTATTTATCAAAGACTTTACTGGATTGCTGTACCATGATCTGAGAGTGGTTATTATTGTGCCACAAGTCTCTGGAAGTAGGATATGTAAAGAAAAAGAGGAGTGAGAACATTGTATGTCTTAACAAAGAAACAAATTAACATTTCTTAGATCCATTACTGAAGTTCCAGTTAATTGCAGGAAGTGGCAAAGAGTAAATGTAGTAAGGGGCTGTTTTGCTTATGAGCTTCGTGGAGAAGTGCTCAGTGCTGGAATTAATATGTTGGGCTAAACAGGGACCAAATCATTTCAAGGTTCAGATAAATCACATGTTTTCCAATGATGCTAAGTGACACCTGACAGTTAATAATCACCTCCACAGACTCTAAGCAAGATCTCTCTTTCAACAACTACTTGACACCCACAAGCTATAGATAATTTTTCATTATCTATAAATTATAAACATCATTCATGTGAGTCTTTCTTTCAGTAAAAGTCTCATTACAATAAAAAAAAGCAATCCTTCTGTACACTTCAGTATAGCTTCTTTGGACCCAGGGACAAAGTCACATCAACATTCCTTCTGCACGAAAACCCCAGGGCAAAGGCAGAGCAATAAACACATTCTACTGCATTCGTCAACAGCTTTATCTATACCTCCAACAAATCCCATTATTTAGATCAGCCCTCAAATATGGTCTCCCTCAAATATGTCAGCCAAACTTCTTTTAAGGAAGAGGGAGAAGGAGAAAGAGAAAGGAGTATAGTATTGCATTTTCATTTACAATTGTTTACACTGTTTGCAAGCCACTTTGGGAAAACTGTTATCCTGAAAGCTGGGATATAATAACTGTAATAAGCAAATTCTTTTCCCAGCCACATATCTTTGCTGGTTTGGGATTATGCAAATTGTAGCCTGACACATCTAAGAGGTACTTGGTGGGAGAAAGTTTCTCTACCAGCCATATAACAAACACTCAGTATCTAATTTTGCAAATAAATAAATAGGAAATTTAAAATGGGAAAATGTATCAGCATTAGATCTCATTTTGTTGATCTAACCGCTTGAACCAGTTGCGCAAGGCAGCCCATCAGCTACCATTCCCTTTTTTTAAAGTTCTGAAAATAAGCCAGTATTTCAACATTCAAGATATGTTCATGAAAGCTACTGTCCTTTTTTGTCAAATTGTGACTCAGTAAAAATGAGAATTTACTTCCAATAGGAAAGGATTTTTCACTGGCTGTTTACCTGGAGGAAATTCTTACCTTGCCATAGGCAACGATGCAAAGGATAGCTACCAGTCTGAAAAGCAATGAACAGATTCTGCCAGCAGCGCCCAACTTCACTTAATTCCCTGCTCCACCCAATTCAAGAAACCTCTACAAACTATGACCCTCTTCACTTCCTGATGCTAGAAACAAGTGTTATTCATCTCCAAGCACGACAATGTTGAAAAATAAACTCTCGTTCTTGTCAGATCTGCAAGAATGCAGATACAGATCAACGCATCTAATTGATTGATCTAATTTCTAGACTATAATAGAAAATATGTCTTTCTTTTCCAGGAAGAGAAACATTTCTTAGCCAAGAACTTCCTGGTAGACGGTTCCTCTTAAGTCTAGAAAAGGCTGGGATGGGGAATCTACTACAAGTCTCTACAAATAAGACCCATATTTTTGTGATAAGCGCAGGGACCATAGCTGCCAAATATATGTAAATTCACGGACTAGGATTTTCCTTGATTGTTTTTCTTTACCCCGCCCTTCAGATGCAGAATGATGCAGTTTTGTCCACCTCGCGAATATCATGCCGTTCCAGGAGAAGCTCACTCTGACTTACAATTATTATAGTGCACCAAGAATATTCAGCATTATAAGAGAGATGTGAAATCGCCCGCTCTTGTTTACAGCTCGCAAAAAAAAAAAAGGCCTGGCAGTTTAATTCTTCTGACATTACTCAAAAGCAGGTTCATCGCCTTAGTTCCTCCTTTTTTTTTTGCAACGGTTTCCTACCTTCGTGACGGTCATGCAGGCTGGATTTTTTTTAAAAAAATGTTTTATGTTGGGTGCCCGTCTGGTACCAGTCTTGTCTTTAGCTGCAGCAAAGATCTCAGATCCCGCCTGCACCACACCTCCGCCTACGCTTTTCGTACGCTCTCCCCTTACAGGTGTCGCTGCGCGATCGAAGAATCCCGTTCATTCATTATAGGTTGTACGCCTGGCAAAGCATCGCAAGCATCGCCAGTTTAAAAGGAGAGGGGGGGAAAAAAATCATGGAAGAATCTTTTTTTTTTTTTTGCTTTTTTGCTATCTCCCACCCGCTTAAAAAAAAGCAAAGAAAAGACAGCCCGTTTTAATATGAAAGATCCGCCCGCTTGCAGCAAGCGCGCTCGATAGGCAGGGCGCACGCTTGCGAAGTCACTGCAGAACACACACACACACATACATGGGCGCGAGCGAGCGAGCGGGATGGGAGTGAGAGGGAAAGCGAGGGGGCGGAGCCAGAGGAGAAAGGAACCAAAGGCCGCTTACTCGCCCTTCCCCTCCTCTTTTGTGCGCGAGTGAGACGCTCTGACGGGGAGGGCGAGGGCATTGCGGCCGAGGGAGGGGGCGGGGGAGGAGGTTGGGGAGACTTTCAGCCCTTTGAGGTGGAAAACGGGCTTCTCCAGAACAGGCGCGTGATGTGGGCGGACACGTTCAGAAATATATATTAAAAAAAAACCAAAAACAATTTCTTTGCGGCTGATAATGACACACGTTCACCCGAGAGCGCGCGACTTAGAAATAAGAGTCACACAGAACATTTTTGCGAAGTCCGTTCTCCACAGGGTTTTCCTGCTGGCTTTCTGGGCATCGCTGTGCGGTTTTGCCCCGCTAAGTCAATGGTTTACCGTTGTCTGCTATGCCGAGCTTGTTAAAAAAAAACAAAAAAAAAAAAAACGCCCAGAATTTGCTTGTGGTCTCCCATCCAAGGCCGCACTCTGCTTCTTATTTAATCATGGACAAGGCTATTGATTCAGTATTCCCGGGTTGGCTAATTGTGACGAGGAAAACAGGGTAAATCGGTGCAATCCCAATCTGCTGCTGTAGGTTGCCCATCCCGTATTCCGAATTTCCTCTGGGCATAGGCTATGACTTTCCCAGCCCTAAGAACTAGACATTTCCTTATGTGCTGTCTCAGGGCTGTGAAGGAATTTTAATTAAATACAAAACTGGCCATTGCCAGGCTCTGGTGCTGCTTAAGAACATTTATCAACTTTTACATATTCTAAATGGAGGACTTTGTAGATCTCCATTGAATGGAAACTCTGCCATTTCTGGGCTGACTCATATAGGCACACTCCTCCCCTTGGCAGGGGGTTGGACTAGAAGATCTTGTAGGAGGCCCCCACTCCCCAGATTAAAATATTATTTATTCTTAATATTAAAAGAGGCAGGATACAATATTTCCCCAAAGGAGAAACAGAGAAACATGCTCTTAAAGGCAGAAAGCAGCCCCAGTCTTCCCCACCTAGCTCTAAGGACAGGACAGGACCTTTAGGACATATTAGGATTTACTCACCACCATTAGAATAGCAAAAGACAGAAGGCTCACTACATTGCACAACTCCCTGGAGCATCTCAACCATCCTGTAAAGATCCATCCACTCACTCAGCCATTTGGTCAGCCACCCCAGAAACATTGCTGCTGTCACTGAAATTTATGGAAACCAAATAAACCAGATTTTTCTTCCTACAATCTCCAAAGTCCCTTCCAGGCCTGTCATTTTATAATTGTTTTGAACATCTCCCTCCCCATTGCCCTGCTGATCATACCTCCCTAACTAACTCAGACTATTGTTAAATGGAATATAGCACTTGTTGGGGACTGGGGTAGTTGGAATTAGGATCTTCCCTGTTTTACTTCTCTTTTAGCCCTCTAGCCATTTTTTTTTTTTTTTTAGTATCTGTAGTTTTACTTCTCTTTTTCCTCCTCCACTTCCTCTGTGAAGTATCTGGATGTTTGAAACTGGCATGCACCAGCTGAGCTATTCATTTGAAGTGGCTTTGCAGCTGAAGAGATGGATCTTTCATTTTTCATTTCAGGCCCTGCCCAGAAACTCTACTGGAAAGCTCCCAAGAAGTTAGTTCAGAATTTCTACCTGGGATTAGCTTCAGCTTGAGAATATCTTGTGCCAGGAAAGCCATTGTGAACTGGGCATCCATCTGAATCAAAGAAAGCTGAAACATACAGTAACAGTGTGACTGTGCAAGAATGGCCTTTCCCCCCAAATTATTAAGCAAGTAAGCCTCCTTCAAATGACTGCAGAGTATTCAGCTGGTTGCATACAAGCTCATTTCTGAAGGGCATTTACTTTTAAGTCCTAAAGCTGTTTGAAATCATTTTTAATCCCTTGAACATGTCATCATATTAAGTGATTTTTTTTTCAACACATGTAGGCAAATATAAATTGGTTGTGGATCTGATGTCTTGATTTTCATCCGTTTACCACACCAGTTCTTCCCTGTTTCATTTTTAAGATTGATTTTTTAAAAGTCCATAACCCTCTTAAAATGTCAACTTGTTCAGTTAACTGTTATCAATGAGATAAGCCCACTTAGAAAATTACAGCCTTGCATCCCAGCCTCGCATCCCAGTTTTAAGCTATTCTTACATTTTTTTTACTTACTACAAAAATAAACACTTTAAATAATATTTTAATAATATGAATATTAAATATTTTAGGTTCTCATGCTAGCATCCAATTAAAGAAAAAAAAACTAATGAAACCATCACTGGCCATCTTTCTGAAAATTTCGTAAATGCTTTATAAATATATATCCATTTAAATTTGTAATTAATATCACTTTGAACTGCCTGTATTTTATTTTAGAGAAGCAATTCCCAAACTGACTAGCTTATTGACCCCTTCATGAAGTCTCATATTGTTCATCGACCCAAAAACATTTATTAATATGAAAATAATTATTAAATACTAATTTAACTAATAGTACTATGAAGAAAAAGCAGCATAGAAACAACAATAGCCCAATTTATCCTTGGGGGGTCAATATCAAGCACTTTGGGTAATCCTGTTTTAGACAATATCCTTCAGCTTCCCATGTAATTAACCTTGTGGCATTTATGCCAGGTGGTGAAACAAATAAGTAGGGAAGTGTATTTCAATCTAGTTTATATCCACAACAAGTTTCAATACCTTTCAATAACCTTAATCTTGCAAGTCATCCTTGCTTCCACTATGTCTATACACCAGTTCATACATTGTCTCCCCCTCCATCTTCTTGTCTCTATTTGAAGATCTCAATTTTATGCATATTTGAGATGCTCTGGCTTCCCCTTTCTTTCCCCACTTTCTCTCTTCCTTCATGTATTTGTCCTGCAATTTGATCCTTTTTTATAACAGGTGACAAACACCTGGACACATTTTTCAGCCTACGAGCAAACTTTTATCAGGGGCAATTTTCACAAACATGTTGAGACTTCATAAATGAAAACAACAAATTGCAAACATATTTAATGCCCCAGATCAGGGGTCTTCAAAGTTGACAGCTTTAAGACTTGTGGACTTCAACTCCCAGAATTCCTCCTCCAGTCATGTTACCTCAGGAAATCCACAAGTCTTAAACTTGCCCAATTTGAAGACCCTTGCCCTAGATGTTACTCTTTATGTGTTGCTGTTTTATAAAAGTTCCATTTTGCATAAATGAGCTGCTTAGATAACGAAAATATAAATAAATAAAATTGCTTATCATACTTCCTCCTCATCTGCTTCTAAGCTTTCTTGGAATTTTGGATCCCATATGCCTAAACATCTTTATTCCCTGGTTACCTGGCAAGACAGTATAAGAGAATTTTGATTATCATTATCCAGAGACTTCACTGTAAAAATACAATAGTACCTCCTGTTAATAAAGTGGGCCCCCAGTGGGTAAAGGGGGAAAAATTGCATTGTCCTTTTCACCCAAAGGGACTTCACAGGTTCCCGTACCTTCCTGTTTAAAAATAAAAAATAAAACAGGAAGTATATTACCTCTATCACTAAGAAATATTTTGGAAAAATGGTCACTGTTACTAATTTCTTAAAGAAAATGTATCAGATATACCATCATGAGATTTCTAGACCAAAATAGGAAGAATTCTTGCTGAAGTTTACACAATGGTTTACATTTAAATAGATATTTCCTCCAAGTCAAATAGATATGTCAAAGTGATTCCTTAAGTGCATTTATTGCTGCTTCCAACTTATCAGTGATAAAGTCCAAATTATACAACCATTTGTCAGAAGTAGGACAAAAAGTCAAGGCTGGAGTAGCTCATATCATAGAACTTTAATCACAATTCACACATAATTTGCCAATTCAGAGGTCTTCAAATGGTAGATTCAAAATGGTTCTGACTGCATTGTTCACATTGTTCTTTTCCATTCACTCTTTCAACACAAAGTGGTAATAGAATAGAATAGAATAGAATAGAATAGAATAGAATAGAATAGAA